GCACCGCAGGACTTCCACGTAGCGGAGGGTTGGGGGGGACGAAAACAAAAAAACAAAAAACAAAAACAGTCACGGTCCTTTCAGCATGCAGAGGCCCCAATAAACAGTTATCCCAAACTAAACGCGTGCATAACCCTACTCATCTGCCAAATGCTTTCACAGAGGGAGGGTGCTATTTCGGGTCGACGGTTTGATATACCAGTTCGCCAAACTTGGGAATTCAATCTGGAAGTGGCTGCTCAGGTCGTGCTGCAGCCCGTGGGGGCGAAACACCCAAAAAAAGAATTCTCGGGTTGAATTCTCAGTCAGAATCATCATAGCCGCTCACATTCATGGCTCGATTATAACGCCTATCAGGATTGGGACCTTCGTTTTCACAATAAAATCGAGGTTCACGGCTCTCTCCTTTTTCTGTTCTTCTTTTTCCCTTATTTTTCCGGACAGTGGCGGCCTTTACGGTGTGATCCAGGCAAGGCAAGAGGCTTAAACTCTCAACACACCTGTCGTAACAGAAGCTCAATAACCAAAAATCATGGCATAAAATCTGAAAATAACTTCCAATGTCTTCCATGAAAATATCGAGGAATCACCTGAATGTGGTCGCCTGTCCTACGGTTTACCGGGCAGTTCTATTTGACGATATATATATATATATATTTATTTTAAAAAGCTATGTTCTTCTCTCAATTTCATCTCACACCACCTACCTACCACTACTCCTAATTGTAGGCATATATACTACGACTGCGGACCGTTAAAAAAAAAAAAAAAAAAAAAAAAAAAAAAAAAAAAAAAAAAAGAGAGAGAGAGAGAGATGAATCTGGTGCTTGCCCTGAGAGAATGGCTCACTCGCGCAAGTAACACGAATGTAAAAATTGGTGCGGGCCTGTACTTGTGTCCCCCCATTTTTCTCCATCTTGGTGCTGTAGAGGGGGGGCGAAGGGAAACAGAAGCCTTACTTTTCCTAGTACTAACAATGTACATAAGCCTCACTAATCGAAGTAACGAATACTACCGTCTTCACCCGAATAGAACGCCCGGTCATTATAGCCGTATTTGATGCATTTTTCAGTCCAGATACGGCCATAATTACCGGACGTTCTATTCGGGTGAAGACGGTAGTACCTTTCACACCTAACGACTGTATCTTTCAGTAACAAGTGAATGTATCTTGTCACCTTCTGTGAGAAATTGTACAGTTTTTTTTTTTTTTTTTTTTGGGTCAGCCTTGCTTCATTCTTTCATTATTACCAATAGCCCGAGCGAACGTTACTCGAAGCATCATCCAGTTTATAGCTTATAGGGTAAAATAGGGTAAAACCTCCCTGAGGCACAAAAAATGAAAAAGACTATTATCCAGTACAATAGGCATAAAGGCATATACGTAAACGAGTTCTGGCTGGTACAACCACTCGATTATCTACTTTTTCTAATACCAAACTGAGCAAATACTCACACTAGCACTTTCTTACTTGTTTCTGGACGGAATTGCGGCCAGATGCATACAGGTATGGCTGTAAATGCCGTCAGATTTGGTCAGGTACATATACGATAGTGCTCGTGTCAGTACGCCCTGAAACGCAGCTCTAATAATCCCAAGACTTTCTCGGCACCTATAGGCTACAGGTAGTCTCGCGACACCCCAATCTTTCCCAAAATTGCCGTGCACCGGAGCAGCAAATAGGCCCTAGTTGCACTACTCGCCATCCCCCAAGAAATCGAATGCATCTGGACAAAGGCCATGTCCACATGCAATCAAGATGTTGGCGAGTAGTGAAACGAGGCCCATACAATTTATTAAATCGGCAACAACAGCATTCCTGGCATCGACCCTTGCTCTACTGACCAAGTCCTACTCACAGTATTGAGCCCTTGTTCTACTACCCTCTTGACGGGATTGCAGTCATATTCATCCAGGTATGGCCATAACTGCTGTCAGATGCATTAAGGAAAGCACGCCTATGAGTAATGAGCGTTAAGTAAAAACACTAGTAATAACCATAGATCATTTTGGAGATCCCCAACCTGTCAGAACGAAGAATAGATAGAGATACAGAAACAGCCACACCTGCCAGATTATTATCATCCTAAGCTAGGCTACAAGCCGGGCTTCCTGGTCACCTTATTTACTCGGGCGGTCCGGACGTGCAAGAGCCAGGGAAGGGCCCAGCCAAAAAAATAAGTAAAGGGTGACCTTATTTTCCCGTGAGAACCGGTCGTGCAAGACCCAGGGAAGGTCCCAGCCAAAAAACGAATAAAAAAACGCGAATTCCGAAACAAACTATGCTATGCAGAAAAATAAACTGAACAACTTTTGCCTCACAGGGTTACAAGGAAAAATTTCACCAAATTAAATATATGCATATATCGTCATACATATGACGATATATATATATATACCTGATGAGTCGGTGAAACTCCGACGAAACAGTTTGTCACAGCCCCTCGTTTGTTGTCCTCTTCTCCCTCTCTGCCTACGGTTTACCGGGCAGTTCTATTTGACGATATATATGCGAGGCCTATGACCCTATGAGCCCCTTTCAGGCCCTACCAAGTATCACGTCGGCCGCCTTAAATGAAGGCAGGCACTACGAGGGCCTGAGGGTCCCTATTTTGGTCACCACGCAAAATTCAGGCAGTTGCGTAGCGCCAGTTGGTTGAAAGAGCCCACGCCCTGAGCAGCCTGTTTGCATGAAGCAAAGACAGGCCCAGGGCTGGATACGGGATGAGGGCCTAACACAGGCCGTTGACAGTTGGGCGCGAGCAAACCACTACAGGCCCAGGGCCTGAGCTGCGTGGACTGGGCCTCAGCCTACCGGGGCCTACCGGAAGCTTCTTGGGAAAGGCCCAGTGCAGCCTGGGACAGCAAGCAGGCAGGCCGCTTGCATATAACAAGGGGCCTGCCTCCGCATTGGATATTCGGGTGCTGGCTGCATGCTACACAAGCGCTGCTGCACTAAAGCTGGCCAGCGCTCACGCTCACGGCCGAGCAGGAAGGAGCAGGCAGCCATAGCCGAGCTGCGCTGCTGTGAGCTGGGTGTGGCGCAGGGTGGTCCTTGGGTGTATGTGGCATCTGTGTGTTGGGGAACGAGGTTGAGAGTGATACGAGAGACATACCTGGTGCTAGAAGCGACGGCATTGTCCGAGATCTGCTCGTACTTCGGTGAAGCTGCGGACGTCATCTTCGGCATTATAGTCTAGGCTAGATAGGATCTGCCATCTGTAGTCTGGGCGCCGAGCGCCAGATAGGATATCAACATTGATTCTTCGTTCATGATGATGATGAGACTATTTCTGCATTGTCAATTATGAGCTCTTGGTGTGTTCTTATTTGGTGAAACTCGTGATGCAATTCTGCTGTTGGTTTGAGGTCACGACTATCTGTTCTGATGTGTATGATGCTATTTGATTGCCAAAGTTCACTATTGCTCATCTTCCTTGCATATATATATAATATTATATATATATATATACGCCTACGGTTTACCGGGCAGTTCTATTTGACGATATATATATATGTCCTATTCTCTCTCTCTGCCTACGGTTTACCAGGAAGTTCTTTTTGTGAAGATGTATATATTTCTATTTGACGATATATATATATGAGTCGGTGAAACTCCGACGAAACAGTTTGTCACAGCCCCTCGTTTGTTGTCCTCTTCTCTCTCTCTGCCTACGGTTTACCGGGCAGTTCTGTTTGTGATGATATATATATATATATATATATATATATATATATATAT